AGCAGCAGCAGCAGTAGTCGTCGTCTTAGTAGTGAAGTAGTCGCAGTCGTGGCAATTGTCCTGGTAGTCGTAGTAGTAGTCGTCGTCGTAGTAGTAGTGGTACGGTTGATGATCAAAATCCTGCATTACCCATAATAAGGAATATACCCATAATTCCCATAGTTTGGGATCCTTAAGGTAATGCTAAGGATTTTTATCATCAACAGCAGTAGTAGCAGAACTCGGCGACCTCGCCCTTGCTCTGCCGGCTGTTGGCCTCGGCAGCCAATGGATCGGAGTTTATGGGCCTTAGGATACTATATAATATATACTATATACTATATACTCTATACTATATACTATATACTATATACTACTATATACTATATAATAAAAAAATATATAATATATAATAGGGTCCTGATCATCGCGGTGATCTCAACAAGGAACCACCACCCCCGCCATCAGGAGCCCCGCAGTCACAAGTTATAAATACAACCAAACCAACAACCAACAAGTAGCGGCACCGCCATCGACATCATCATCATCATCACCACCTTCATCATCATCACCACCACCATCATCATTATCATCATCCTCAACATCACATTTCCTGTGCTTTGTGTCTATCATCTTCTTCATCGTGGTCGTGGTCCTGATTCACTGATCATCGCTGTGGGCGCCAGAGTGGCTCTCAGATTTGTCGTCGGAAACAGCACTGGGAAGACCACCGGCGTTGATAACCCAAACAGCAGGGCGCTAAGCGAGTCGCTCAGAGGTTCGAGGTCTGGGGCTAGGGCTTAGGGTTTGGAGGAACGGAGGCCTGTCCGGGGGGGGGGGGTTAGAGTTCTAGTGCTTGTCTTTTTTTGGGCTTGGGTTTCGGGTTGCATGATTTATCGTTTCGGTAACTGAAAGAAGCAAGAGGTTGATCTCGGGTTACAGACAAAAACATGCGCTCAAGGCTCTGCGCGCCTCTTCGGACTCCAGAGGCCATCGGGAAGGTGCTCAAAACCCTACCAGTTGTAGTGTGTTGGAGTTAGGGTTTAGGGTTTAGGGTTTGGGTTTAGGGTTTAGGGTTTAGGGTTTAGGGTTTAGTCTTGAGGGCTTTGAAAAATTCGGATTCGGGGGGCTCCAGGCCCCGTATCGCCTGGGGGGATACTCAAACATGTCATCTGGAGACCCTCAACTGTCAACCCACGTCTGCCAAAGTCTCCAAGGCCACAGATCACCAATGCGAATCCCAAAACCCTACACCCCCGGCCAAAAAAAAAAAAACGAGGGCCTCAGGAACTTGGCCCAACCCTCCCAGCTCCTAAGATGCAGGGCTTAGTAAACCCTAAACCCACGCAGCAAATGCAAGCTAATTCTAACACTCATTATTACTCCCAGAAGGTTAAAGGTTACCTACTCTACTGCAACAAAAAATTACATGTCGTCGCAGGGCCCCAGGCAGAAGCACGCCAGTAGTCGAAGACCAGGGCGGCCGCCAAAGCTGCAGCGAGCAAAGCGCCGCAAATGACCTTTACAGTGTTCAGCGGTCTAAATCCTAAACCCCTAAAGCCTAAACCCCTATAAACCCTAAACCCTAAACCCTAAAGCCTAAACCCCTAGAAACCCTAAACCCTGAACTCCAAGGTTTAGGTTTGGCCGGGTGTGGCGCTTGAGAGTTTAAAGGATTACGGCGTTTAAGGCTGTTTCCTTCCTTGGGGGTTTGCTCCTCGGTCCGATATGCAGCAGCAGCACTGCAGTTGTCTTGGAAACTGCATATTATGCAATGTAGGAATCCCAACCCCGAGTCTATGGCTAGGTCACACAGAATTTGCGATGAGCCCCTCTGTGGACCTAAAGGCATGGCCAGAGGGGAAGATTGCACAGTGCTGCTACAGGAGAGTTAACGCAGTCCCAATGCAGTTTGCTCTAACTTTAGGGTTTAGGGTTTAGGGTTTAGGGTTTAGGGTTTAGGGTTTAGGGTTTAGGGTGCGAGCAACAAGAACAGCTTTGTATGTAGCTCTGACTCAGGGCCTTTCTTACCGCAACCCAGTTGGCCCTAAATCCAAAACCCAACGTAAGCCCCAAACCCTAAACCCCAAACCTGCTGCAATCCCTAAACCCCTATAACCCCAAGACCCTAAACCCTAAACCCCCTGCAATCCCTAAACCCCCTACAATCCCTAACCCCTTACAATCACTAAACCCTACCTTAAGGACTAAATGCCCCATAACAGTAGGGGCCCTATACCCTGATACTATGAATCCCTATATGGTGTATGAACCCTAAAACCTTTTAAGGGTTCTTTTCACCCTTAAGGTAAACCCCGAAAGAGACCTAAACCCAAAACCCTAAACCCCCTGCAAACCCTATTTCAAACCCCGAAACCCTAAACCCCAAACCCCCAGAATCCCTAAGCCCTAATCCCCTACAATCCCTAAACCCCTAAACCCAAAACCCCTAGAATCCCTAAACCCCCTCCAATCCCAAAGCCCTAAACCCCAAAACCCCCTAGAATCCCTAAACCCCAAAAACCTTAGAATCCCTAAACCCTAAACCCCCTACAAACCCTAAACCCTAAACCCAAAACCCAAACCCTAAAGACCTCCCTAAACTCCTAATCCCTAAACCCTAAACCAAGAGACCCCGATCTTCCCCTGGGTTTCCCAGGCATCGCCGGAGCCGCGGCGGGAGGGAGCGGGAGCCTCTCCGTCAGGGTTCGAGAGTCGGGATTTAGGAGTTTAGGGTTTAGGAGTTTAGGTTTTCTAGGGTTTCTAGGGGTTTTTAGGGGTTTAGGGTTTAGGGTTTAGGGTTTCTAGGGCTTTAGGGTTTTCAGGGTTTAGGGGTTAGGGTTGAGGGTTTAAGGAAGCTTTCAGAAACTTCCAGAGGCCGACTCCACAGCTCCCGTCAGATCCATTCAAAGCCACGCGAGACCAGCCCCAAAACCCACAGAGGCTTTTAGGGTTTAGGGTTAGGCATCTTAGGCACCAAAAGACCCTTCGACTATGACGGAGTCAGCTTCCAAGTCCTTCACTGAAAGCATGGACCTTTAGAAGCGCTGAGGCGAAGGACATGCCAGATTCCAAGGGCTACGGGTTTAGGGGTTAGCGCCCCCAGCTGAATAAACACCTCGAACACGTAATCAAGCCTGAAAGCTTGCAGCAGCAGCCGAGTACACCCTAGTAGTCTCAGCACCCTCACATGAAGTAGGGCTTTACTCCTAAACCCTAAACCCTAAACCCTAAAGCCTAAACCCTAAACCCTAAACCCTAAACCCTACCCCAAAAAAGCCCGAATGGAGACCCCCTACTTGATGTACCCTGGAAGAGGCCAAGAGGGCACCTGAGTAGGCGTGGCAGGAGCCTCGGCCACTGGTTCCGAGGATTGCAGCTTCGACGCCTGGCTCCAAGATCCAGGGTCGAGGGTTTAGGGGCTTAGGGTTTTTTCTTTTAGGGTTTAGGGTTTAGGGGTTTAGGGTTTAGGGTTTAAGGTTATAGGGTTATAGGGTTTAGGGGTTTAGGGTTTAGGGTTTAAGGTTATAGGGTTTAGGGCCGGTAATGTACAGTAAGAAGGCTATGAATTTCTATGGCCTTGATGATTCTTATTGTCTGGCTGTGTAAGTTTGGCAAGATGAAGTGTGGGGTCCGGGCAACACAGAGGCTTGTCTAGAAAGGTTTTACAGGATTATCGTAACGTTTACAGTGCTTATGAAGCGTTTTTCTCTGAGGCCTGCTTCAGGGATCTATAAAGGCTCGGTCTTATGACACTGGAGGGCCGTCTGGGCCCTCGCATCGTTAGAATACTGGGGTTTGGGTTTTCAACTGCAATATAATATACCTTACGATGATTTAGGGTATCAGGGAATAGACCAGACCAACGGGCAACGCACTGGAGCTCCCATAATCAAGCTCTTGTCTTCGCGAGTTCGGAGACCTAAACCCTGAACCCCTAAACCCTGAAACCCCTGAACGCTGAACCCCTGAGCCCCAAACCCGTAACCCTGAACCCTTGAGCCCCAAACCCGTAACCCTACAAGCCCTTATCCTCAAAACGCTTACCTTGAAACCTAAACCCTGAGCTCTAAAGCCTAAACACCGCAAGCCACGTGCCTGAGGAGGTGGTGAAAGAGGCTTCTCGGTAGGCTTGGCAGCCTCATAGAGTTTCGATTGAGCTTGAGAACCTGAAACCCTGAACCTTGGGTACTGCCCCCATACAGAAACAGTCTACAATAGGGCTACTATTAATTAAGGGTCTTATATATCCATAATATGAATATTGCTCAACTGTTACTGAGTGGGGGCAGTATCCAACCTAAACCCTACATCCCGGGTCTGATGGGGTGCCTTGACGGGTTCTAGAGGTCTTTTCTGTTAAAGGGGTCCTGGAAAGTTCCTGCCAGGGTATCCTTAGTAACTATGATTTGGGGTCCAGGGTTTTTGGGGCGTGAAACACGTTCCCCAGTCTGGTTTCAAAAATAATCCTAACTTGGAACGCCACTCATTCCGATCAGTCTTATTCCGCTTTTTGAGATTACAGCAGAAACGTTAATTGTCTAAGGTTTTCGATGGGGGGTTGGGGCTTCTTCGCCAGTGGAAGATGGGTCTTCGATGTGGTTTCAGAATTTCAGGCTCCGGGGAACAGTGGGGGGCTTTTGGGTTTAGGGTCATTGGAGTTAAAGGAAGCTGCAGGTGGAGAGCTTGGGGTGTATAGGGCTTCTATAATAAGGCTTCTATAAGGTATATAGACCTTCTATAAGGCTCCTAGAACGGTAACTACCCACCTGAAAATGTCCTAGACTCCCCCAAAACCCACAGTAGGGGCCCTATACCCTTTTACTATGAATCCTTATGTGGTACATGAACCCTAAAACCTTTTAGGGTTCATTTCGTCCTTAAGGATTGGAGTCTGTGGATCTCAACAGTCCCCGAATGTAGTGATGATCTGGGTTCAAGAAACAGTCGGGGCAATCAAACATTCTCCCAACTCGGCACTAATCGGTGCCCTAAACCCCTAAGCCCTAAACCCCTAAACACCTAAAAACCCCTGGACACCCCTAAACCCCTAAACCCTAAACACTAAACCACTAAACAACGTTAAGCCCTAAACCACTAAAACACCCTAAAACCCTCAAAACCCCTAACCCCCAAAAACCCTAAGCCCCTAAAAACCCCTAAACCCCCTAAAAACCCCAAAACCCTAAACCCCCAAAAACCCCTCAACCCCTAAAAAAACCAAAACCTTAAAAACCCTAAAAACCCAGAAAACACCCAAAACCCCTAAACCCCTAAAAACCCCCCAAACCCCTAAAACCCTAAACCCCGACACTTCGCGCAAGATCCCATAGCCTCGACTCCACCCTTCACGAGCAGCTCCTGTCATGAACGCCGGGAGCTCACAGGGCTTGGCTTGCGGTTTTGGGTTTGGGGTTTAGGGTTTAAGGGCTAAGGGTTTAGGGTTAAGGGTTTAGGGTTTTAGGGGTTTGGGCTTCGGACGTAGTGGGTTTAGTGGTTTTTTTTTGGAGTTTAGGGTTTGCTTTTAGGGTTTAGGGTTCTAGGGGTTCTAGGGGTTTGGGCTTAGGACGTAGTGGGTTTAGGGGTTTAGGGTTTAGGGTTTAGGGTTTAGGGGTTTGGGCTTAGGATATAGTGGGTTTAGGGTTTTTTTTGGAGTTTAGGGTTTGCTTTTAGGGTTTAGGGTTTAGGGTTCTAGGGGTTTGGGCTTAGGACGTAGTGGGTTTAGGGGTTTAGGGCTTTAGGGTTTAAGGGTTTTAGGGGTTTTAGGGGCTTTAGGCTTAGGACGTAGTGGGTTTAGGGGTTTAGGGGTTTAGGGTTTAGGGTTCCGGGGTTTAGGGTTTGGGGTTTAGGCCTAGGTTTCGGGTTCAAGGGTTTAGGGTTTAGGGTTTAGGGGTTCGGGTTTAGGGTTTGAGGTTTGGGGTTTGGGTGTGTGAGGTTGGGGTCTAGGGTTTAGAAACTTTATAGAGTTTAGGGCTTAGGCTTCAGGGTTTACTATACGAGGTTTACCGGTACCACCAAAAAATATACAGACAATTAGCATTTTTTAGGTGCTGGGGGGGTTACTGGGAGGTTCACGGGTAGGTATCAGCGGGGTTACAAGTAGGGTAGCTCTGTCTAGAAGTCCAGAGTCGAGAGTTCCCATCTTTTGGGGACTTAATACCACCCTAAACCCTAAACCCCAAACCCCTAAACCCTAAACCCCTAAACCCTAAACCTCTAACCCCAAAACCCTAAACCCTAAACCCCTAAACCCCTAAACCCTAGACCCGCTTATAACTATATGAACCTCCCAGTGAGTAGAGCCTGTGGGATCTGCCCAAGAGGTGTTGCGGGTTCGACAGCAGGGTCTGAAAAGCCGAAGAAGCCCTCACCCCCAAATCCTGAAAGCAGAAAACTGAATCTAAAACCGTAACGACCCCCAAACCCTAAACTTCCTAAGCCCTAAACCCTAAACCCGACGTAGAAGCCTGAATGGTTGTTGGACACTTGAAACCCTACTATTTGGGTACTTGGACACTTAGGGAAACCCGAAACCGTGAATGTTTGGGTTTAGTATTCAGCGTTTAGGGGTTTAGAGTTTAGGGGCTTAGGTTTTAGGGTTTAGTGGTTTAGGGTTTAGGGCTTCGGGTTTAGGGGCTTAGGGTTTAGGGTTTGAAAGCTTCGCCTGTCTGGCGTCGAAGCCTTGCAACTGTTACGCCCTACCTTTTGACATGCCCTTGTTTCAAGCGTGCACCCAAAAATTCACTGCACTTGGGGGTTCATGGGTAGTTGGAAGTGGGGTTGTAAGTAGGGTAATCAGCTAGGAACTATTATAACCCATATTGGGGGCCTTATAAGCCAACGTATGACTACCCATGAACCTCCAAGTATAGGGAAGCTGCAAGCAACTGGTAGCTTCAGGTACGAAACGTCTGCGGTTTTGTTCAAGAGCCTTCAGAGACACCCTCCAATATGGGGGCCTTGATAATTAGAATAGAGTTTTGGGGGTTTGGGGTTTAAGCACCACAAACCCACTGTAAGGATCCCACTTAAGGCACTGATACTCAGCCTATTGCCTACTTACAAGGTCCTCCGACACGCCAGGTATTGCGACCCCACTTGGAGGTTCATGGGTAGTTATAAATGGGGTTATAAGTCCCCTAAGATGGGTTATAACTATAGTTACCCTACTTATAACCCCACTGAAAACTACCCATGAACCTCCAAGTATGGTGTTCAAGCGCACCTCGGATTGGCTCCAGGGGAGGTCCTCCCCCTCATCGCAGCCAGCCTGGAGAGGGACTTCGGGCTTAAGGCTTATATCCTAAACCCCTAAACCCCTAAGCCCTAAACTCCTAAACCCTAAACCCTAAACCCTTAAACCCTAAACCCCTAAACCCCTAAACCCCTAAAACCCCTAAAACCCCAAACCCTAAAATACAGCGCCTCGGAGCCCTAAAAGGGTTTAGAGGCTTAGGGCTTTCGGGCTCGAGGCCTCAGAGTTTCGGTGGCTTGCGGTTTGGAGCCTACGGGTCTTCCCTGTCGGCGGCCCCCAAATCGGAGCCCCAAAACCCAAAGCCCCAAAATTCTGCGATTGAGACTGAGACCGCTTCTGAACAGAAGGCTTGGCGCCCTCAGCGGCACTAAATGCCAAACCCTAAACCCTCTGAACCTCGAACCCTGAACCATACTACAGTGCTACTGTAGGGCGTAAGAATTACAATACGGGTCTTGGTAGTTTGAGCGAAACACGGACATGAAGGGACGATGAAGGGCCACTCTCGCAATGTTTCTTGCTGTTCTATATCAGATAAAGACAACATAAACAAAGGATTACATGAATCCACCAGCACAGATATGTACATACATTCATATCTATCTATCATAAATGCATCACACCATAATGCACCACATGAGACAGCCTTCTGAACCCCAAACCCTAAACCCTAAACCCTAAAATCCTAAACCCTAAACCCCTAAAATCCTAAACCCTAAACCCCTAAACCAAAGCCCTTTTTGGACACCGCAAAAGACTTCAGAGCCTTTGGCTTCCCGTTCTCATCCAGCTGGCACACATCGCTCTCGACCTAGCAGGGTTTAGGGTTTAGGCTTTAGGGCTTAGGGTTTAGGGCCTAGGCTTTAGGAGTTATGGTTTAGGGTTTAGGATTTAGGGTTTAGGGGTTTAGGCTTTGGGGTTTAGGGTTTAGGGTTTAGGGTTTACGGTTTAGAGTTTAGGGGCTAGGGCTAACAAGGGCTTAGAGCGCTTGCGGGATTTGGGGTTTGGATTTGGGCTTTCAGCGGTTCGAAGAGCTACCGGAAGGCCAATTTGAGATAAAGACGAAGGGCTTCTTCGACGGCACATGTTCTTTCGCGCTAGCGCCCTGGGTTATCTCGGGTTAGGTTTCAGGATTTAGGGCGTAAACCCTGAACCCTAAACCCTAAAGGAACATCAGACATTCATTTCGAAGAAGCGAAACCAGGGCAGCTCCCCTTGACCGAGTTGACCCGGGATGCCCTCGCGCGCAGCCCCAAGCGCAAAACCCTGCTTGGAGGTTCATGGGTTAAGGGGCAATTCATCTCAGAATTGGGTTTAGAGTTTTTGTGGGGGTTTAGAGCTTAGAGTTTATAGGGCTTAGAGTTTAGGGTTTAGAGTTTAGGGTGATAGGGTTTACCCATAGGCTCCAAAGTAGTTCCTTTTTGGGATTACCTTATAGGATCCTAAATATGGACCCCAAAAGGGAACTACTATGGAGCCTATGGGTAAAGCCTGCTTCGAACCCCACTTATAACTACACATAAACCTGCACCCTTCGGGTCCTTCTTCCACTCCTCCTAAACCTCGAAACCCTAAACCTAAGCCGTCGGCCTAATGCTATTCCCCGAGCTCCTTGGCCTGAAATAGTGGCTATGGTGGCCTCAACAGCTCGAAGAGGCTTCGTGGGGTTTCTAGATATTTTGGTGTAAGCGTTTTGCGGGCCATAACAGAACATCATTAACATGCTCGTTAAGACCTCATATCACTCCGCAAACCCTAAACCCTAAACCCTACAAACCCAAATGCCTGCACCCCAACAGCCAAACCTATAGACTAGACTCCTGAACCCCTGAACCCCAACACCCCCCAAACTCCAGGGCAAGCAAACCCCGAACCCGAAACCCCC